TGTTTTCAGGTCGCTGGGGTCTCCTGTTGTCTCTTCCCGTACAAAACCAGAATGGTCACAGGGCATCTCATCTCCTAACCTCTCCCTTTGCGGAGAAAACATGGTGAAATAAAAATCAATTCTATTTGTTTACCCCATTCTGCTGAAGGCCTTGGTATGATCCTAATCAGCTGTGCCTTCTTACAACATTTACAAACCAGTGTCATAAGGACCTATTATGAAATCGAATCCTTTCCCTCTTTTATTGTGGCTCCTTAATTTACTGTCTTGGGGCAGATAAAATGGTAAGAAACTAGTACAACTTATAACACCCTTTTTTTTTAATGTGCTGTTCCTATCCCTTAAGAAAAGTGCCCCCAAAAGTAATTAACTAGAAAGTGAAGACACTCAAATAGTGCTATCTCCTGTTATAAATTCATCAGCTGGTTAAACTTAGTCCTTAATTTTTCTTCTATCCCTATCTGCTCAAGGGTTTTATCACCTCCATTTTACCTTTGCTGTGATTTTAAGAGTCAGATATATTGACTCCAGTTTCTAGAGCATCTTGGTTTCTATGCATCTTGATTCAATGGCATTTACTGCTGATCAGAAGGAGAGTAATGACGTGGAATAAAAAGTATTCTCATAAAAACACGACTCTTCTAAGATCTGCTCATTTCCTGTTGAAAATCTGCAGGTAAAATACACATTAATATTAAATGCGAGAATGTTGGCTGTCATTCCTTAGTCTGATAATCTACCGGATAGGTTTGTTAAGTGTTTCTTTTTTTCAGTCTTTCTTTTGGTCAAGAGGGGTGATAAGCCAGACTTATCTGAAGTGGAGAAGTTTGACAGGTCAAAACTGAAGAAAACTAACACTAAAGAAAAAAATACTCTTCCCTCAAAGGAAAGCAAGTCATGGGGGCTTTGTAGTTGAGGCAAACAATGGTAAAAGTTGATAGGGTCAGTACATAAACTCTTCTAGTAAATTTTGCCACAAAATAAGCAATAATTAAAGTACCAATGTATTGGGCACCTGGGTGGCTCAGTTGGTTAAGTGTCCAACTCTTGGTTTTGGCTCAGGTCATGATCTTACGGTTTATGAGTTCAAGCCCCACATTGGGCTTAGCGCTGCTGGTATGGAACCTGCTTGGGATTCTCTCTCTCTCTCTGTCTCTCTCTCTCTCTCTCTCTCTCTCTCAAATAAATAAACTTAAAAAAATAAAGTACCAATGTATTTAATGCAACTCCTAAAAATATCAAATAGTTGCTTCTTCCCTGGTTTATATAAACGGTTCTCACAAAATAGGCCCTAATAGTAATGGGAGAATTTTTATAAAAAAAACTGGTTGTTTTGTTGAAAAATTACTAAAAGCCACATTAAAACAAATCTTAGAATATTAGATTCAGTATTAGAAACATCTTAGTTTTGTCTGATTTTTGGTTATTTGTCATTTTTATGCATCTAACAATTGGGTTTGTGATCTCATCCCTAAAGAGCCATATAAACTTTGTGGCTTTGTCTTTCTCTACCTGATGACAAGATGAGGTGGGAGAACGAGTTTAGTTCTTGGGTATACTCAAGTCTTCCAGGGATCAGTGGATCAATTTTGGCCTCCTGATTTACAACCTTCTGGAGAAACTCCCAAGTCAAGGGGCACATTTTTTCATGTCAGCATTTGAAAGTTCCAAAGTTAGTCAAAATTGTCTGAAATGGTATAATTTTCCTTTTTTAAATTTTTTAAAACATTTATTTATTTTTGAGAGACAGAAACAGAGCATGAGCTGGGGAGGGGCAGAAAGAGGGAGACACAGAATCCAAAGCAGGCTACAGGCTCTGAGCTATCAGCACAGAGCTGATGCGAGGCCTGAAATCACAAACCGTGAGATCATGACCTGAGCCAAAGTTGGATGCTTAAATGACTGAGCCACCCAGGTGCCCCTGAAATGGTATAACATTCTAATTGTATAGGGATAGATAAATCTTAATAAAATGCTTCACTTCCTCTTTAGTCTTAAAATAATCTGTGCAAATATGCAAAAATGGTAACAGCATAAATCTACCTCTTAAATGGGAAAAAAACCCCACAGTTGATGTAGGCTCTATTGCACACTCAGGTGGTATACACACACATACACACACACACACACACACACACACACACACACACACACACCTGAAAGCAGGTATGGCAGCCTTCAGTGACTTGGAAAAGTGCTTTTGGGGAAGAAACTGAACTTAATCTTAGGAAAATACCTTCCTAATTTTTTTTATATTTGTTTTTTCCCCCCAGCTATCCAGCAGGAGAAAGAGTGTGTTCAAACTTTGTAAAATGAGAATCTCCTCCCAAGAGCAGATTTAAACATTGCCTAAGTGTCTCAGTTTTGGGATTTTTTTTTGTAATCTATGTGCTTGTAGAGATTTTAAGCAACTTCTGATGTCTTTGCACCCATACTCCCTTGCTAAGAGGTCAGGAGTAGTCAGTGTTCACTTATGTTCATTTTTAACCTTTCCATTTGTACCTAAACTCCAGCTGGTAAATGCTATCAATAATCCCACTATTTATGACCTTTGTGTGTGAAGACCTTTCACCCCCTTTAGGATAAGCTACTTTTAACCTTCTACAATAGTTGCCTCCATTGCTCCATAATCTTCATGAATTGGTATGCATTTACAGCTTCTCACAGTTTATTTTCATTTCTAATGTAGCAATAAAATAATAAATATAATCAATATGATAAGGCTCCTGTGGTTCATTCTTAGTGGTCTTCTAAGGAATGGAAGTACCAAGGGTACTCTTTTCAGCCAAACAAAATGATTGCAGGAAAGCCACTTAAGCAGATCATTCACATGGAATAGGCTCTCTTCTGTCCAGGTGCAGTGGGTCCTGACTTAGTGATGCTAGGTGCTTTTGCTGTAAAGTTGGAATCCTACAGTTTGAGAAGAAAAGGTCATGTGGACTAGCCCCCTTATCTCAGAAATGAAGAAATGAAAACTGGGTCTGAAATTATGATCTAAGGTGAATAAGAGCTGGAATTTTAGTTGGGCTTTCTTGCCTACTCAAATGTACTTTTAAATTTAATGGAAGGAGATGCCCAAACTGGGGATGGATGGGGGAAGGGGATAGGAGGCACATGCTAGCATACCCTATGCTAAGCACATCACATCTTACTGTTGAGCAGAAACAGATATCTAATACCTGCTGATGAGCCACAGCACTGAACCTCTGGATTCCTTCTTGTCCTGAACAGAATTCACTGTCTTATGAACCAAGTATTTCTGGTATTCATGGTGAGCATAAGTGTTATGGACTGAATTGTTCTCCCCTACCTCCAAAATAAAATTCGCATGTTGAAGCCTTAACCCCAGTGACTGGATCTGGAGATAGGTATTTAGGAGATAATTAAGGTTAATTGAGGTCCTGAGGGTGGTGCCCTAATCTGATACAACTGTGGCTTTAAATTTTTTTTTAACGTTTATTTATTTTTGAGACAGAGAGAGAGCATGAACGGGGGAGGGGCAGAGAGAGAAGGAGACACAGAATCGGAAGCAGGCTCCAGGCTCTGAGCCATCAGCCCAGAGCCTGACGCGGGGCTCGAACTCACGGGCTGTGAGATCGTGACCTGAGCCGAAGTTGGACGCTTAGCCAACTGAGCCACCCAGGGGCCCCACAACTGTGGCTTTAAAAGAAGAGGAAGAAGCACCAGAGATTGATCTCTCTCTCCCTGCCTGTGAGGATCAAGGCTTCCATCTGCAAGCCAGGAAGAGAGTTCTCACCAGAAATTGACCCTGCAGGACCTTGTTCTGGGACTTCTATCCTCCAGAACTGTGAGAAAGTAAATTTATATTGTTTAAACCATCTGGTCTATGGTATTTTGTTATGGAAACTCTAACAAATACAATAAGGAATACATATAAATAGGCAAGCCCTGATACCTGCCCTTACTTTCATCACTTAAAATTTATAAGAACCAATTACTTATAATACCACCAATTACAAGTGTTAGCATTTGAGTGTATGACAATCCATGTTGTGGTTTATTAATATTCATACCTTTTCCTACAAAAAGGGATTATGCTGTCTGTACCTATTTGCAACCTCAAGTATTATCTTACCACTTCCTTCTAAGGGCTGACATTCTTAAATAATCATTGGGTTTATAGGAAAGTGGAAGCTGTTTTCTCTGCAATAACATAAAGTTCAGTAAGTAAGACAGTAGGTGGGTCAAATGTCAGTGAGATAACACAATCACAAGGCTTAATGTATCCAGAGGATTTGAGAGCTTGAAGTAATCATGCTGGTCATCAATACCTTACCTCTTGCCTGAAAAAATTATCTGGCAAAGTCATTCAGCTCCTTGCTGTGGCAGGCTGCTTACATTGTGCCCAAACCTGCCTCCCTATAGCTTATATCCAATAGTCCTAGGACTTCTTGCTGGATACCCACACAATGTAGTTGACCCTCATCCAATGTTTGAAGTCAGCTGTTGTATGCTTGCCTGTATACCTCTGAGTCTTCTGATGACATTTCCCTGAAACTTTGGATCTAACTTACATGAATGGGGAACATCCTGGTTGCTGATGTGCTCAAGTTTGCTCATCCGATCTCTCCATCTTGACTCTGTCATCTAATACATTTGCTCTCCTTTCAACATTGCTATTTGCAAATTTGAGAAAGATAATATATATTCCTGATAGATTCGAAACCTCCAAATTAGCATATCATTTAGATTGCATTTGCATAAAATTAGGATTATGTTGAAGGGCCTAAAAGAAAGAATGAATGTTGACAGGTGAGCTGGGATTGGATAATAACTCATACTATTCAATTTCATTAACAAATTGATTCCATTCTGAGCAGTGTAAGTGTTAAACTGTGATGTGCGGTACATGGTGGCAGGCTAAAGACATATAGCTGCTAGGTGAGTACTCATAGAGATATAAGACGGGAAAACCAATTGCTCACCTAGAGTAGTTTTATATAGCATTTCTTAAATATATAATGTGGGGCTACCCTTCTACTTATTAGATTCATAGCCTGTCTAACCAGAACAGATATTTTTGCTCCCAATAAGCCTGCTAATAGTAGAGATAGAGATTTAGGGCCCTAAACAAACAAGGGACAAGAAATATGTAACACACCTGTTTCCTATTTCCTCCTCAGTCTCCAAGGGTGAATACCCAGGAACACTTATTAGTTCACCCTGATCACCTGCTTCACACTTTGAGCCAATGGTGCAGGGTCTGCAGGTCCTTCACTGGCTGAACCAGTGGAGTGTAGGGCTTGGGCTACTCTCACTGGATGTTCCCATCATCCCTTAAGTCATAACTACAGGTCCTGAAGCTTTGCGTTTTAGATAGTTAGTTAGTTAGTTACTTTCTTATTTATTAATTACTTTTTAAATGTTTGTTTGTTTTTGAGAGACAGAGGCAGAGTGTGAGGGGGGAGGGACAGAGAGAGAGAGAGAGAGAGAGAGAGAGAGAGAGAGAGAGAGAATCCAAAGAAGGCTCCAGGCTCTCAGCTGTCAGCACAGAGCCCAATGCAGGACTCAAACCCACCAACCCTGAGATCATGACCTGAGCCTAAGTCGGAAGTTTAATGGACTGAGCCACCCAGGTGCCCCCTGAAGTTTCCATTAAAAAAAACAAAAGACTAGACCAGAAAACAATAAAATTGGATAAATATGAGCTAGTTAGACTAGTTACTTCAGTTCTAGGAAGCTTGAAAAAGGTACTATTCCATGAATTTTTGATTTAGCTGTTTCTATACTGTGTTAGGATCCTTGGTTATTTATTTAAATGAACTCCACAATAAGGGTCATGTTGAAAAACGTCTGTATTGGGTATTTTGGTTTATGTATAAGGTTTCCCCCAGTTTGATGCCTGTAATTTCTTATTTACAGCAGCAAAGCTGTTTCTTTTATTTAAAAAGTCTTTTATGTAATGTGATACCAATTTATTAATAATATTTGAAGTAGAATTTTTATATCGTCCTTTATAAATGAGACTTCTCAGAAATTTGTTTAGCATGCTTTCTTCATTAGGATTTATCATCATATTTTCTTGAAGTAAGCAATAGGTATTTTTTCTTTATTATCTGGAACTATTTTATTAGTACTAGAAATACCTGATCCTTGAAGGTCTGACAAGATACACCCTGGAAACCAGGCCATTTGGGACTATAGCTCATTGATGACCTCTGTTCTTCAATTTTTCTTTTGTTTGATTCAATTTCTATCCTTTGGCTTTGTAATTTGGTTCAAATTTTAAACTGTTTTACATTCGTACATATAGAAATATGTTTACATATATCATCAAAAATTCTTGAAAGATTGGGCTATTAAATTTAAAATATTATCATTTAGTGATTCCTTTTCTCTTACTCTTGTTGTTTCTTAGAGTGCTAAGGTAATACTTGCTTCTTAGAGTATGAAGGTAATCATTTATATACATTTCTATATTTAGAAATACCTCTTCTGGGGCCCCTGGGTGGCGCAGTCGGTTAAGCGTCCGACTTCAGCCAGGTCACGATCTCGCGGTCCGTGAGTTCGAGCCCCACGTCAGGCTCTGGGCTGATGGCTCAGAGCCTGGAGCCTGTTTCCGATTCTGTGTCTCCCTCTCTCTCTGCCCCTCGCCCGTTCATGCTCTGTCTCTCTCTGTCCCAAAAATAAATAAACGTTGAAAAAAAAAAAAAAGAAACACCTCTTTTATTTTATCATCATTTCAAATCTCAAAGGTATTTGGAGGGCATACTTAATGTTAAAAAACAATTTAAAATTTGGTAAATATTAAATACTTTTGTTATTTTTGTGAGTACCCACCTTTATCTTTGTGTTCAGCCATTGGAGAGTGTGGCTTTGCTGTTCCTTTTTGTGACTTACATAGGAATTTGATAAGAATGGAGGTAACAGATAGTCAATGATGTCGCAGGAGCACTCTTGTGGCTATATCAGAGAGTGCCTATACAAGTGACAGGAAAATGGAAAGAAGATTCTAGGTTAGAAAAATGATCCAAACTGCCCAGAATCATTCTTATGGCAGCAAGAACTTGAATTATGGAGGTCAGACTCTCACAAGAAGCTCAGACTAACTTATCTTCAATTTAGATGATTTTGGTGACATCTTTTCAAAGTTCTCATGCTGTAGACAGCAATCAGCTGATATAAGCAGATGAAGTTTTGCTCTGTGAGGCATCTTTCAAGGATTTCCCAGAGGCCACAGGAACTTTAAAGGGTTCTAGAATCCTACTGGGATGGCTGTTGATGCAAAAGGACTATCATATTCCATATGACACAATGACAGGTTTCCCTGCATTGTGTTCTACTCAATCA